GTCAGGTGGAAGCATTCGGGTGGCAGCGCTGCTGCCCAAACGCTTCCACACAGTGCCAGCCTCTTTTCCCCCCCGCCCACTGTCTCCCGGGCTCCGCTTGCCCATCTGTGGGCGCAGGACCGGCTCACCGCCGGCGGCTACAGGGAAGGGAGGAGAGCGGACACGTCCACTCCCCTCCCGGTCCTGACCCGGAGGTGACGTTATAATGTCACTTTCGGATCCCCGGTGAGAGATTCCTGGCAATTGAGGCCGGGAAAGAATGTAATGCAGTGCGATGTGCACTGCATTACATTCAGGGAAGCAGAGGAGAAACATCCAAGGGCTTTTAGACCTCGGATGTCTCAATAAAGAAAACCTGCCACCAAAAAATCATCACATAGGGGACATTGTCCCCTAAAAAGAATTCAGTAAGAAAAAAAAGTTGTTTTTTTTTTAATATTAAAAAATGAAAGTTACACCCAAGCACATACATTCCCCCCCCCAAAAAAATTGAGCCCCCACCACATATACACACGTACTGTAAAAGCACACGCTGGGGCGCCTACACATGAAAACGTTGCAAGACACGTTACATATCGCCACGCACGCCAGAATGAGAGCAATAATTCTAGCACCAGAACTCCTCCATAACACTATACTGATGACCTAGAAGGGGCTTTAAAAGCGTCGCCTATAGGAAATATAGGGTACTAAAGTTTGTTTCCGTTTCACGAGCGCATGCAAATTTACGGTTTGACATGTTGGATATATATTTACTCGCTGCAACCTCATCTTCTATATTTATTTTAAAAAAAAATAGGGTCATTTACCGCTTTTTTTTGTGCCCTAAAATTAACTAACTTGTATTTTTTACAGAGATTTTGCGGTAATATCATGTGACATAAAAAATTGGAACTACCACTATTTGATTCTCTAGGGTCTCTGATTTCAGAAAATATATCATGTTTGGGGTTTTGTGTAATCTTCAGGCCTAAAATGATAAAGGATAAGCCGGAAACTCCCCTTTCCTGAGGAGCACCCAATCAGTGCTCATTTCACTGCAAGGTCTCTCTGCTCCCTGCTAATCCTGAATGCGGTGCTGGGGACAGGCAGGGAGGGGAGGAGATAAACAGTGCAATGTTAAAAATATTAAACATTGAAGTCACCATAAAACCCCTTTTGTTTTGAAAACATTCCTAATATCACCTCCGATTTAAATATGATTTTGGATAAATAAAAAATTTTTTCTTAATCTGGACATGTAGATTGTCATGAGAGACAAGTAGATTGGGACACAGATTTAGTCCCTTGGACAAGTAGCTTTTTCAAAAATGCCCACACCGTTAACAGTAATAATTAGATGTATTAATACTATAATGTATAATATATTATTATTATGCAGCTTTTTATTTAGCTTTGAGAACAGATTCTCTAGGCACAATGTTCTCCATACAAATGCTAAGATTAGACAGGGGCTTTACATGGATTTAACTAACAGAGGCAGTTGCATGCGAGTCCGAAAAGTATAGAGTGTACTGTTTAAAGTCTTCTATCAACACTCTCTATCCACTTTATACTTAGAACACGACTTCCTTCACTTACTTCTAAGGTTACTCTGAGGCCAGGCTCTGCTGTCTTCAGTATATCTATTCCTCTCTACAATGATGTCTCAAACACCATATCTCCAGTTACGATTAATGTTTGTATTTTAATATTTCTGAAAATCCTGCAATGAAGTTTAATAAAGGAAATTCTTTTACATTTGTGAATGGGTGCAGTAACTTCCCCTTAGTCATATTTTCTACCCTGTCTATTCAACCAATCATACAGGCAATGTCCGTTTTCCCATCTAGTACTTTTTTTCCTATAAAGTTACACATTTTTCCAGCACTCCTATTTTCTGTTAACAACTGCAGGAAGTTGATATCTGCATTCTTTTTTCATATGAAAATTAATTACAATAAAACTGCATGTTATTAAGCAAACTGCACTGCAGGTAATCATTGAATGACATTGCCAATAGGCCCCTAGCCCATTCCAGGGTTTTCACGGCTACCTTTATACAGGTATGTGGAAAGCTCACCTGCACTGTCACCACAACACACTGCACAGTGAAGTGTGTTTGCCAATGCAAAGGTGTGATCCAAAGCTCAGCATTTCATTTTCCTGATATGTGCCTGCTGTACTATGCACTCGTATGAAAAATTATCCTGTTCTTTTTGTATTGCTTCCTTTTTGTGAAATCCTTGGTGTTCCTGCCAGTCCCTCTAGTTTCCTGTTAAAAACTGACCACACTAGGCATAAAAACACACGGTGGTCAGTTCTCCAGCTGTGCTGGGAACTCAGCCTTCTCTTCTGCAATGATCAGACTACTGCTCACATGCTCCCGCTGCACAGCCATTCACTGGGAAGATCAGTGTACTACTGTTTCTCCTTCCCCAGCTCTCTCAACTCCTTATGCAGCTGAGAACAGAGGAAATGTGATCACTTATATAAAAAAAAGGGGAAAACAAGGTATTTATGTTTTTTAAATCTATACACACTTATTTTATCTTTCACTTCTATTTTAAAAACTGTATGGGTTCTTTTAGGCTAGGTTCACACCTATACATTTTCAGATATGCAGAAATGCACTACGCTCCATTTAATATGATTTCCTATGGGCCACGTTCATATCTGTGTGTTTTCCAACTGGTGCATTTTTTTGGAAAGGGTCAGGGACTTTTTTACAGTTCAGCAGGTTGTGTTTTTGGTTCCATAGACTTCAACGGAAATGCATCAAAAATGCATGTACATGCATTTTTGGTACATTTTCCTGCATGACAACAGATACCTCCCCTTAGCAACATTAACACATCCCAAAAAGCACATCAAAAACGCATGTGAAGAAAACGCACTGGAAAAACACATTAACCGCAACCTGCATAGGTGTGGACCTAGTGTTACAAGGTGAGGGTTGACATATACTTTAATGATTATAGTTTAGATGGTATTGAAAGTTACACTGTAGTCATTAGAGATACATCATCACCTTGTCCATTCAAAACTACAAATGCAGTATTTTAGTTGTGAAAAACATGTTTCAGCATCAGTGGGGTTCCCCACTGACAGCTGAATGTAAAAGAAAGACTTGCCGGCAATTAAAAAATGGCATGGGGTTCCCCCATCCTCCATCTATACCAAGCCCTTCGGGTCTGGTATGGATTTTTGAGGGGAACCCCCCATGTCACAAATTAAAAAAAAAAAAAAAAAATTTAATTTTGGCATGGGGGTTCCCCTTAAAATCCATACCACACCCGAAGGGCTTGGTAATGGATGGAGGAGGGGGCCCAAGCCGTTTTTTTTTTTTTTTTTTCTTTTTTAATTGCCAGCAATTCTTTTACATTCAGCTGTCAGTAGGGCTAGGGAACCTCGCTGAGATCTGAAACATTAACGCATGTTTTTCACTACTAAAAGACCGTATGACTGATGATAAAATAATTCATGCGGTATCTTAGTAGCGTTTTTTAGTGAATTCAAGCTTTTTTAAAAATTGTAAATCACACGATTTCAAAGTCGGCTTGATGTGAACGGAGGGTTAAACATGTGCTATTAGTAAAACTGACATGAAACACCATCTGGATTTTAATTAATTTGGCTAAATGGGCAAAATGCAGGCCCAATTTTCTATGGGACTCTTTCCCACTACTGCAGTACATAGTGGCATGTTGCGAAAACATCTTTCAAGCTACATTGTCATTTGTTTGTGTGGTCCAACTCCATGATGAGTGGGATAACAAAAGTACCAGACACCATAATTTTAAAAAGTTTGAGTTATGCAAGCCACATGTTTGGTCCAAACACACTGTTGATATCTGTGAGACTTCACACACAAGTTCCTGCTATAATCCACCTTTCCAAGGATTCAATAAAACATGTTCATCAAGAGTACTTAGAGTCAACTTTGGTTCTTTGCTGACCATGTGCTAAAATCACCCAGTGTCCCAGCTGAAGAACCTTATCCTTAAGGGCCCATTCACACAATCTGTGGATTAACGTGTATAGCATTAGAGAAGCTTTTGCACGAAACACGTCAGAGGGGAGCCTGCCGCGCTGACGTCACTCACTGCGGAGGCCACATGCTAGGCTGGCGGCCATCTTTCTTCTATTTATGAATGCACATGTGTATTTTCCCCTTATGCTGTATTAGCTGACTTGCTGTCAGAACATTACCACTGGCTGAATAAAATACTACACCATATCAGCTATTTTTGTTTGGTGGCTTAATCTCTGAGCTACTCACGGTGGATACCTACCGTTCCTGATATATTTTGATGCCTGGTGTAAGTGAGACCAAGGAGCAGTTCCTGTATGCTATGAGGGTCCTACTAAGAGGTCTGGAGTACCAATGGAGTGCCCTATTCCTACTGGTTCCTAGATGACCACCAGTGCCTTTCCGGATTATACATACATGCGCAATGTTATTGTGCGTCCGGTGAGAGTGCAAGCATACCGCATTTTCCTTACCACGGAAGTCAAGAGCACCTTATTCCCACACATTACCTGTGAGAACAACTTGTACCCCAAGACACTGGAATATTGATACACTTATTTGATATTCATTCTAGCACGATTGTTTCTTGGCTTTGCATCTACGTTTACACCATACGTTTATGTCACTTTGTCTAAACCACCTCCCACCCGCCATATAGTAATATGATGGACGCAAGGTGGTTCTCTTATTCTGGGAGGACGTCATATGATGTCCTCCCATTCTAATCGTGCATGCGTGGCTCCCGAAGCGCAGCGATCAACGGTGTGCTGTGTCCCTTGGACACAGTGGATCACCGATGCATGGAAAGAGCCGAAGATGTCAGCTCGGTCATGTGATCAGCTGTGTCCAATCACAGCTGATCACAGGTAAACAGGGAAATGCCGGTTTTCGGCATTTCTTTCCTCACGAGCTGTCACGCTGACAGCTCGTGAGGAGAGGAGAGCCAGTGATCGGCATTCCTCGGAGGGGACATGTACACAGATCAGAGCACTGATGATCAGTGTGCCCTGATGATCTGTGTAGCCCCAGCAGCGCCACCTGTCAGTGTCCATCAGTGCCAGCTGTCAGTGCTCATCCATGCCACCTGCCAGTGCCACATTTCAGTTCCCATCTGAGCTGCCTTTCAGTGTCACCCATCAGTGCCAGTCAGTGATACCTATCAATGCCTATCAGTGCCGCCTATCAGTGCCATATATGAGTGCTGCCTTTCAGTGCCCATCTGTGATGCCTGTCAGTGCCCATCAGTGCCACCTATCAGTGTCCATCAGTGCAGCCTCATTAGCCCATATCAGTGAAGGAGAAAAATCACTTATTTACAAAATGTTTTAACAAAAACTAAGAAATTTTTTTTTTCAAAATTTTCAGTGGTTTTTGGTTTAAGAAAAAATAAAAAACCCAGCGGTAATTAAATACCACCAAAATAAAGCTCTGTCACAAAAAAAAATTATAAAAATTCCATATGGGTACAGTGTTGCATGACCGCGCAATTGTCAAAGTGCAACAGCGCTGAAAGCTGGAAATTGGCCTGGGCAGGAAGGGGGTACAAGTGCCTGGTAGGCAAATGGTTAAATAAGACGATACACTATTGTCACTTTATGGCGCTTGAGTTTATCACTTATCACTTTTATATATGACTGATTTCTTTAGCGCTGCATTTTTTGTTATTTACGGTTTTAAGGATCAAGGGGTTCATCCTTATGCTAGCTGCTCTAATTTTGGAAGCGCTAGTTTTATTTATTTATTTATTATGTATTCAGTTCCCATTCAATCCCTGAGCAAGCTGTAGAGTTTCCCTATGCCTGACTAAGATCATCATGCAGAAACCCATTGTTTGTATGCATTATGCCTATTCACATTTCAACACTCAATCGCTTGTACACTCTAAGTCCTCGTGCACACTGGACGTTTTTACAGCTGCTGTTTTTAGTTTTTGACTTTTTTTCACTTATATAATGGATATAACAAAACCCTTTTTGTTGTATTTATAACGGGCCAAAAAGGGAGCAAATAAAATGAGTTTAATATTACTGTTTACTTACCCTTAGCCCTCATGCACAATGGACGTTTTTACAGCTGCTGTTTTTGGCTTTTGATGTTTTTTTCCTACGTTTTTTACCGCATTTACCAGCGTTAGAGTATTTTTACAGCTAAAAAACTCCTCTAGAAACCCACTAGTTCTGGGGTTTTTTACAGCCAAAAGACACCCCTACCAAAAAAAACGCTGATTAAAACCCTATGTGTGCATGGACACGTAGGATAACATGCTGGGGAATTTACTGGCTGTAGGAAAACAAAACCCGTCAAAAGCCAAAAACAACAGCTGTAAAAACATCCAGTGTGCATGAGGACTTATAAATACATGAACTATTTTTCAGGCCTCATGCACACAGGAAGTTTTGAAAACTCTCCTAGAAGCCTTTTTGACTGGCAGCAGCAGAAAAACCACCTGACACTTCTAAACATAACACTTTTACAAGCATTTAGGCATGTTTACAGGTGTCAAGCGCTTGGGCATTAATTCAATTAATTGGCCAGAACAATCATTTATTCTTGCAAATAAGTTCTAAACGCGCCTTGTGTTAACACGTGTGTAGACTCATCTACAAGCATCAAGCATTTTTTTCTGCCAAAATGCTGCTGCTCCTGGACGCACTGGCAGAGGGGTTTTTTCCCTGCTTCTAAACTCTCCTGCCAATAAATGCAGCTAAAGTCTATATGTGCATGGACATGTACTATAGGCTAACATGCAGGGGAGTTTAGAGGCAGAAAATAAAAAACAACACAGACACCCCCCCTAGAAGCAGCTGCAAAAATGGCCAGTGTGCATGTGGCCCCTAGCATCCTCAAGTGTTTTGGGCCCCATAGATGTCCGTGCCTGTAAATACATGACATCTTTTACATACTGTGACAGTGCAGTACTCTGTCACAGTGTTAACAAGCAGTCTGGGCCAGGTTTTGTAGAGAACAGGCACGCTGACAGTGCTGGGTTCTTAGGAGATCCAGGATTAAAGTTCAGTCCCCCGCCCCAAGGGGTCTGTACGTGTGCAAGGGAGCAGAGAGGTGTGCATGTCTGGGATGGGATGAGACAGGACAAAGGCCCGTGTCTGAGAGATGAAGCAGGAAAAGACCGAGGTACAACATTTGTACATGAGCACTGGATTATTGTGTTACATAGTCAGGAGGACCAAGGCACAAGGTCTGAGCAACAGGGCCACTAAAAAGAGACACAAGGCTGCATATTGTTTCTTTCTGTTCGTATTGATGGTGGAAAACCCGGCATGGGAAGCTATGTGCTTGTGAAGTTTTCTATTTTAATAAAAGTAGGCAGAAAAAGCCCTGAAAAGCTATATCTGGAGTGGACTGAACTCCCTGGCAAGCACTATACACAAGTTAAACAACCCTAAGTTATTTGTGTCTTTTTGCACCTAAAAAAATCTCCTCTCCTCCTCTAGAACTGCTCTTACCCCCTTTCCCAGCCTAGAAAACAAGCTGCTGAGGCTTGATACACATGCAAAAACATTCACACAAAACTCGTAAAAAGCTATAAAAACACCGCAAAAATCACCAGGAATACAATCTTACCAAGCGTGAACGCAGGTTTGATTTATGAGCAACACAAAGCCTAGGTTCACACTTGCGAGCTGTGGGGGTCGGGTTTGTATGGGCTGCTGTGCCCGTGTTTTTGCAGAAGAAAGGTGAATGCACCTTTTTAAGTGAGAACGCAGTGGCTGCCGCAAATGCACTGTGGGTTTAGATGCATGAGGGTGCCATTAAGAATGAATGGCAGCCCTGAGCGCCTCGTAAGAACAATGTGATTTAACTGCAGGAGTGGGAACAGCTGCAATTCCCGCACCCACAATCAGCCCGCACAGTGCGGGAAAGTGTGAACAAAGGGAAATACAATATGTGCTGAACCCATGCAAGGCAAAGCAACGGGTTCACCTAAAGTATAATTAACGGCAAAACCTATTTCTTTTTAATTAGAGTGGAGAGGGATTAGAGCAGCTGTCAGGTTTTTCTTGCTTACTGTGCCCCCGGTAGGCAGATTCACCCTCTATTTATCTTGGTGACAGTTATCACCAGAAGTGAAAGAAAATCCCAAATTTTGGGTTGTCCCTAGAACAGGAATAGAAGGGAAATCTTCCAATGGGAACAATGTTTATGTGAGTCTGGTGAACATCAGGGATTTCCTGTTTTGGCTTTAAGGAAGGAAGCGAAGGGAACCGCAGTGTTGTCACCCTAAATCCAAGATGAACTACAGGAGGATGTGCTGAAACAACCAGTGTTGACACACCCCGTGTGATCCTACTGGCAGGAACAATGTGTGATCCTACTGGCAGGAACAACAGGAAATAACATCACATGTTACGCTTTATCCTCTTTATGACGCCCAAAACATATGTGGGGTGGCAAAAGGGAGGGCTTTAATGCCCACACCGCACATAGCGCAGGCAGCACGGTCTATGTGATGGGAGCGCGCAGTGAATGACACGCTGGGCAGCTGATGTTTATGTGCTGAGAGGGTGCTCCAAGCACAAAGACTGAGCTGTCAACAATAGCTTTTGGTCTGGAATAAAGATCAGTAGCAGGTGGGATGGGCTTCTGATCATGTGACATGGGTCACGATTGCCAATCCCTCCAGTCTGGCTTCTGGTCATATGACCACTGTGACACTGGTCACCTGATCACCATTCCTTCTCTTTTCCCCAGCCATGCTCTTCAAAGGGACGCCAGGGCGGACAGGAGGGAATTAAAGCTTAACTCTGGAGAAAACAATAATTCCTTTGCAGTGAGGCTCCCCCCACACTGCAAGGGTTAAATGCTCTAGGGCAGGGCTTGAAATTTCTACTCGCCTGCTCGCCAATGGCGAGTGGAAATTATGGTGGGGGCAAGTGTGTCCCCCAGGGCCGTCTTGCTGAGCAGGCTCAGAGCTCAGGCCGGATCTGTCATTGGCACTGGGAGCCATCAGACTGCTCAATAGCTGAACGCAGTGAAAGCAAAGCAAGGAGTGTGTGCTGTGCTCTCTGCCTCCCCCTAGAGTGCAGTACAAGGATCTGTGAGTGAACAACAAAGTACTGCAACTTTTTATTGGGGGGGGGGGGGGGGGTGTCTGTGTATGTGTACATGTGTGTATCTGTACATGTGTCTGCGTGTATGTACATGTATGTGTGTGTATGCACGTACGTGTCTTTGTGTAAATGTGTCTGTGCATGTGTATTTCTGTGTACGTATATGTATCCGTGTGTATGCGTGTCTGTACGTGCCTGTGCGTGTATACATGTGTCTGTGTGTGTATGTGTGTGTGTGTGTGTGTGTGTACGTGTGTACAGGTGTCTCTGTTTGTGTGTGTTTTTTGCTGGCGAGTAACTCTAAGGATGGCCATACATGATACAATTTTATTGAGAATTTTGCTTTAGATTTACCAAAAACCATATGAGGTTAAACATGAACACTTTCAATTGTATCCAATTAGGCAGGCCCTTGCACTACATAGTTGAAGGTAAATAAGGAAATTGGGCTATGGAAAATTGTATAGTGTATGGCCAGTCTAAGGCCTGGCTAGTAGCTCAGGACTTGAAATTTTAAGCCCTGCTCTAGGGTACCTGTAACATGGACTTTACTAATCTAACGCCTTCTCTACACTAGAAGACTGGCTGCCATAGCCTCTTCTATAAGGCGCTCTAACAGCCAATAGCTTTGCACTGTATGTGGGAATGCAGCGACCACCCACATTCAGAGGGTCAGAGAGAGGAGTTGAGCAGCAGTGACCAGGGAAGTAATCAGGCCCTGTTCACAAACTGCGCAGTGGGAATGAGCATTCCTGCTCACCATTCTTTCTGTGCAATTTTCACATAATTTTGTGTTATGCATAGGGCAGCCCATTCACTTCAAGGGTTGCCCTATGTGTGTTTGTCACATAAAAGAAGCTCCAGCTCTTTGTTGGGTGACAAGGTCAGCGCACTTTTTAACAGCCTGTTTTGCCATGATTGCTGCTTCTGCTGCGCGGCAGAGTCGTACCGTGTTTGGGGTGCCATTAACAATAATGGCACCCTCACTTTAAAAAAAAAAAAAATGCATGTACATTGCATGCTTTGCTAGGGATTTGGAACTGCAGCGATTCTGCCAGTGATTCCAAATTGCAGAATGTAAACAGGCCTGAATGTCCTTTCTCTCAGTATCCAGACCATTTAAAGGGCAAGTTCACCTTTGCATTAAAAAAAAAAAAAAAAAAGCTGAGATAACTCCAAATACCTTGGGCACTCCTCTGGACCTCACTGCACATAGAATCTGTGATGCCTCCTGTTGCTGGTGTAGCAATCTGTACATCA